TCCTTTGTTGTACAACAAGCTTGATCCCGGCTGTGTATTTAGCGTGTGGCATACTAAATTTGGATCAAGGCCTAACATCTCTTCATAGCTCCAGGCAAATACGTCTTTGAACTCCTTTAGTTGGCTAACTAGTTCTTTCTTTTCCTTGATAGATAAGTAAACACTAATAGAAATCAATTTTTCCACATAGGGATCATCACTTAGGTTTACCTCTTCAAGCTTTTCCGCCACTGCAGCAGATCCATCGTGCATGTATTTTGGCACATATGTGATTTTCTGCAGGGATTTGCCTTTGGTAGCAGGTGCAGGCATGTCTTCAGTTTCCTTAGGAGCTTCACTTGTTTCAAGTGCAGTGTCTCTATACTCAAGATTTTCCTACCCAATGTGGTCAACCCCCAATCCCGTCATAAGCAGCAGACGACACGGCCATTGGGAAGCACGACCTTAGAGAATCGAAGTGGAGTGTAGGCAAGAACATTGGTCTTTAGCTGTATGCATTTTCTTTTTCCTATGGTGGCTAGGCATTCTTGGTCACTGAGATCTAGAACTTTTTGGCAAGAGGGTAAAGGTATCTTTGAGGTCTGTGATATCTCAGCTTCAGTACTTGAGAAATCATTATAGAACTTGACATTGGAATAGTAAACCTCGTCTAGGTTGAATGGCATCTAGTTTCTTAGGATGCAAATAGGCCTCAGACCAATATTTCCCTTGGAAGGTGGAGGTCAGGAGTTTGTGCTTATTTATCCATGGCTTTCAGAGTAGAGCGTGGTAAGCCATATTGATGTCCATCACATAAAACTTAGTAAATGACCTAATGAGGCCAATCTTTAAGTCCATCTCGATATATCCCATAATCTCCTCACTGCTATTCCCAAACCCATTGATAGAGATTTGAGATTTTACACCTTTAACGTTGGGTCGCTTGTAGCAGTGAGCATTGCCAAGGGCAAAATATTGATAGAGGATCCAGTGTCCACCAAAGCTAGCCTGATGAAGACGTCGTTGATTTGTTCTTCTAAGTACAATGGCCTTTGGTGGTTAAGGAAAGCCACTTCCATGTCTTCTTCATAAGTCAAGATAATGGTGTTGGTGTTCTTAAGGAAAGCCCTATGCGGCTGAGCAGTATAGCATTGAGGGCTATGGTCCTCGGGAACATGCATAAGAGCTTCAGCAGCAGTAATCCTAGCTTCCGGGCCATATTCAAGCTGGTCGAAAAGGGATTTGAACTTCGAGTTTCCCTGGAGGACCTGCGCTACAGTAGGGCTTTGCCATTGGGAAAGGTAACGCTTAATTGCTTCAGTTTCCATGTCAGGAAGGCTGTACAAAGTCACAGCCGTTATTTCTTGGTTGAGCAATGGCTCTTCCAAGGTCCCCACGTTGTATTCTTCTGGCGTATGAAGACTTCGTTGCTTAGGCTTGGGGCAAAATCCATGAGATTTGCATCCTTATCTCCCCATCCTTTAACTTGAGGCTATAGAGTATCATATCTCTGTGGTTTGGCCTATTTGCACCAGTAAGCCTTCTCTATGTTTCCGAAAGATTCCCAGATGGCTTCTGGTGGCTTGGGGTCGTTGATCCACAGGTGGTAGACATCGTCATCTCCAGAGCATGTGATGACAGCTGCCATCTATTTCCCTCAACATTTTGGCAAAGGATCAGTGTTTATGGCTTATGTCTTGCATGGTAGCTTTAGCGTTCCTTCACGATTTTTGCGTAGAGAATCTTTCACAAAGTTTGGCAAACAATAAAGAGATGTCCTACGTACTGATGGTAGCAACAGTACCTAGGATATTTTATGTCTTCCTAAAATAGGGTTTATATTGCCGAGGCAGCTTAATGGCCTCTTCTGTGAGCATAGTATCAATGATAGTTTGGAATTCTTCATCGCTGCACTCTAACGAAGGATATGTTTCCCTATCACTCTCCCTTTCCTTCCCTTTCCAAGGGTTGTAGTCAGATTTGTCATCCACGGCTAGCGTATGATGAGCTTCCTTCTTGTCAATTTTTCAGGATCTCCCCGTGGAAGGCTTGACCGACAAGCTGGTCTTCCTTACTGCCTCCAAAAGCCTCGAGAACTGGCTACAATGATAGGGACCAATTTCGAGGCTTACCTTCGCCAAAAATGGCTAGAATTCGTTGGAGAAAGAGTTGCACAATGAAGGTTATTGTGCAACATGGGAAGGTAAGTTCCAAGGTGTTTTTCTCCTATTTCCAGGTTCTAGGGCTCACCATAAACACAAGGGATGGTGGTGGTGCTGTCTTGATGTGGTTGTAGGTGTGTGGGTGTGTGTGTGTGTATGGCTCGTCAAGGGAGGGAGGAAGGAGTGAGAGAGGGATGAATATGGAGAAAATAATAATAACATGGAGAAAGGAACTCTCTGGAAAAAGATGAAGATAATCAGAAAATGGGAGCATGGGACAAGTGTCAACTAAGGGGAGGTCCAAATTGGGGAAATATCTCCAATTATGAAATTACCTAAATGCACTTGACGTTCAAAAATTCATAAAAACTTTGTTTTAGCTCTGAATTCAATTCCGCTTACTCCCACGCATTCGTAGTAACGATTACTACAAGAATACACTAATAGAGTGGGTTATACATCTCACGATATAAGTGTCGACAAAAGTCAATGATTTTGCCTCAAATGGCATCTTCGTCAATTCACACTTTTAAAATTAATAAAACCATAAAATTAGGGACAGGTTGTTACAACTCTTTTTATGAGAGATACGCCAATATATCAATTAATTTTCCACATATATCATAATTTTTTCCAACAATAATTCACGTTTTAATGAACCAAAGATGCACCATATTAACGTTTAACAACATTAATCAAGAATAAGATCAAATATCATTTCACGAAAGTTAATAAAGCCAATCTCTGTATTTCTCTACATAGATTCCAAGAAATATCACGGTAACTTCAAGCTACAAATACAAGAGTGCACCTTGAGAAACTCTTATTCATGAATCCAGACGGATGAGGGTTTCAGACCTACTTCACATAATCGAATAGGAAATGGGATTCCGAACTAACTCAACAGAATCCAGACGGAGGAGGGTTCTATACCAACACAATGCAACTGAATAGGAAGTGGTATTTAGACCAACTCAACGAAATCCAAATAAAGGACGGTTTCTGACCCACTCAATGAAACAATTCCTAGAATATGTATGGTATTCCGATGCGGATTAACGAAGCAAGACTATAGGCAAACATCCAATATTATGGTCTTCTGGTGCAAATTAACCTGACATAACCACCTATGGAACAATGTAACCAAGTAGGAAGTGACCCCCCCAATGCGGATTAACAAGGCAGCGTCATCCCTAGATGAATATGGGTTTCGTAATGAGGATTAACCAAGCAGGACCATCCATGATCTAATAGTATAGTTCCCCAATGTGGATTAACTAAATATGACCATCCTAGAATGCTTATTGTCCTCCAATGTGGATTAACTAGACAATACCACAGGCATGCATCCAATAGTATAGTCCCCCAATGCAGATTAACTAGGCATGACCACCTATGGAAACCACGTAATCAAGTAGATAGTGACCTATTAAGGCAAATTAACCAGGCAAAGTTACCCATAGAATTCATGCGATCATCTAATGCATATTAACCAGGTAGGATCATCCATATACCACATTACTACATGGTTCAGTCACACAATCACACATCACATACACATACCTCATACAATCCACTTCTCACATCAATCCATAACAATTACAAATGTAAGCACACACATTATTGGTTCAACGTAGCAATAGATATTTAGTCACACAAACACACAAGTTCTACAAGATAATTCTAACATGATTCCCAACCCATCTCCTCCTATTGGCATTTACACATGTCATTAATTCACTAATACCCCAATAAACATGGAAAATCCCGGCAAGACATCACAAACTTAATTCCACATACACATATATGCAAATAATTAATTCCAGCATGTAACTAAGAATTTCACAAACTTAATTATTGATCCATCAATAATATACTTACTAATAGTTCATCCATCACAGCCTTCTTCACATTCTCGGGCACATCTTTCCAAGAACGCCACTCAGCAGTGGGACAATTATTCCTTATGGCTACATCAATCGCATGCGCGAACTCAAAATGTTGCCTCAAATCATTCAGGTTTGTGGCGGGCACGCTCTGATCCTTATTTTTATCCTTCATCTATTCTTGAAGAATAAGGATAGCATAAGTGCATATTTATAGGAAGGTTAGGGCCTTTGCGCGACGAAGGCTTTGTTGAGCAAACATCTGTATTAAATGCGGTATTGATTCCTCTGATTCACCTACAGTGAATGGTCAAAACTGACAGGACCTTGCATGACGAATCCTTGGTCACACAAATGTCCCCTTTTCGTTGTGCAAGTTTTTCGTACCAAAAAAAATAACCCTCGTTTTCTTGCTAACTTTACGCGATGACAACAAATATTTGTTGTGCAAAGTATTCTTGCACAACGAACATTTTCGTCGTGCAAATTTTTTTTTTCCTATCCTGTCTATTTTGCATTACGAAACGTTTTTTTCGTCACGCAAGTACGTCTTGTTTGACGAAATATTGTTCTTCATGCAAGCTGTTTTTTCTACTAGTGTTAATATACTAAAATAGTTAGGGTTATAAGTGATTTGGTGTACTATATGTAAAGTCATATTAATCTAGATTTAAAAAGGTGGAAGTCTACCTTTAGAAGATATAAGAGTAATATTTAATTATAAATTTGACTGAATCTCTCTCTACAGAAAACAAAAGCTACAAGTAAACAATTATTTGATTAGCCATGTATGCATTGGATATATATGGGATAACTTGCACCAGTACACTTAGAAGTTAAATATAACATATAACATCTATCTTGTTCTCACGGATTTCATGACCGGAAGTTGCATGAACTCCATTCTAAACTTGATGTATGGGCCCATTGATGTGACAAAATTCTCTGATCTGATACTGTGTATGATAAGTGATACAGAGGCCCAAAATTCATAGATCCTCACGCCCTCGAAGGTAAAATTCATCAGTGCAATTATTTGAGCCTGAACTTGCCAGATCTGTAAATGTGATGCTTGTGCATGCCTAAAATATGAATTAGGTTATGTCGCATAAATCTGTGTAAAGTAGTGCTTTCTGATTTCAGTGCGTTCATGCATCAATGGTTTTGGTCTACTATCTACAAGCTCATGAATGTGTTCTGTATACTGCATGTCTCCATTGATGAACGCATGGGCCCAAAAATCTGTGCATGAGGTCAATCTGCGTATTGGCTCGATGAATATGCTCCCCTTTGTGTTGCTTGGATCCCGCCCCCAAACTTCAATGTAATTATATTTTGAATGAAGTGTGAGAGAGTGAGAGAGTGAAAGGGATCCGTTAGCATAGAGGTCTTCTCAGCATCCCCACTGTGAGTATCCCTGTACCTCATCTATGCTCCTTCTGTATCTTGTGCTTGCATTTGTGTTGAATTTGACTCCCATGAATATTCTTAATTGTGATGATGAATTTTGTTGTGATGAATGGATGGTTTAATGCATACTGAGATGAATGGATGAATGTATGAATCCACGAGTAGTTGAGATTAGACCGAATCAGTTCCGAATGCAGCCTACAATCACAAATCAAAAACCTAATTAGATAACTAAAGAAAAATAACAAGAATTAAAATTTTCAATTTGTTTTTTCTTTCGATTTTCTGATTTTTTATTTTTTTCTGATTTTTGTAATTAGGAATAAAAACAGGAGAATAAAATGAATGAAATAAAAAGAAAAGAGTTAGAAAAATTGGGTTGCCTCCCAATTAACGTTTTAGTTAACGTTTGTAGCTAGACGTAGAGGAAAGAATTGAAGATCACGTCACTTGTTCCCTTAGAGTTAACCACTTCTTGATAGCATCATACGACAACAGTAGGTATGGAATGAGTTGTTGTTTATCAGTGGTTGAATTCTTCATAATTGCCCTTCTATGTGAATGAATCTTTGTGATCAAATAAGGCTATTTCCAGTGAGGTTTATGTTTACGTCGAGCTGCCTTGAACCTTGTATTTAACACCCACAACCTCTGCACTGGCAGAATTTCTCTACGAGAAATTTGGCTGTCATGGAATTGATCCTAATTTTCTTTAAATTTGATGAATTGTGATGTTTGCGTGTCCAATTCAACAACCAAAATTTTCTGATAAATAGCCGGTTGCTCCGAATCCAAAATGGTCAGAGTAGTCAAAAGCTGATCATGTGATGTCTGATATACTGATTTTGAATCAACAGCTTCTAAAATATCAATTCTTGTGCATTCGTGCAGCCCTGTTGGGAAGGGTTCTGGTGGCACATAAACTTGGGGATGAGAAGATTGTGGGGAAATTGTTTCATGATCAGCAGGTGGTGTTTCCTCCCTTGGGGCATGACTGGCTGGCAGATTGCTCTTCCGTTTCTGCACCAATTTCCTCTTGATCATCATAGCTTTTCCCACAGTTTATTAATGGTTGAATCTGAAATTCTTGATTAGTTCTTTCAATGTACAACTCAATGGATTCCAACAATTTAGAGAGTTTGTCTTCCACCGAAAGCTTTTGTGGCACATTAAACTTCTCAAAATACTGCTCAAGACTTTGAATAGGGATTGTTCCAATGCCTTTTTGAGTCGGTTGTCATATCGATATGCATCTGGTCAAACTCATGAAAATATTCTCTCAGGACACTGCAAAGTATCATGGGCTTCAAATAGCAAGGAGCACAAATTGTAGGGTTAAATCCATAGAAACCCCAAAATGCAAATGTGACCCATAAAGGCGGTCCTCCTGGTTGTATATTGAATCCAAGAAGAGGAACACAGTCCATTGTTGCACAAATTGTAACCTACAAAAAATAAAAATAAAAAAAATCAAATCAAATAAATAAAAAAGTTATATACAAAAATAATTAACTAACAATATGATAAACACAAATTATTTAAAACAATCCTCGGCAATGGTGCCAATTTCTTGATAGGGATTTTACCACCTGCAAAAGTAGGGATAAAAACACTTAAAAATACTTGCAAGAGTACAAAGTTGTCGTAGTATAGCAACTTAAGTAAGGTCGTTTTCCGCAAGGATTGAATGAATAATTTATGTAAAAACTAAATGTTAATTAATTATTTGAAAACAAAGTTTGGAAGATGTTGATTTTATGACCTAAAATATTAAAAACGAATTTAATTAGAAACAATTAAAGAAATTAACTAGAGAAAAATTTAAAGAAAGTCAATTTGTAAAACCTAGGGTTCAGCCGTCACCCTAACAGTCCTACATAGTTCTTCTAATTCCTTATAAATTACACATGCATATTTTGAAGGTTAGGTTTTCCTAAAGTATGCCCTACTTGGAACCTCCAACATAGAACGTATATTTAACATGCAACCCGTCTGTGGCGTCCAGATCGAATGTGAACATGCAAGACTCATTAAGTTTTGTGAAAACCTTTTGAAAAACCATGCAACCCTTAAGACGTGTTGTCCATCCTAAGAAGTTACACATATTAACCACAAGAAGCCAGCGCCAATTTCAGGGACAGCCCTCCCCCCTTCTATTCTCATCCCCTTCCCTTTTTTCCTCTCACATATTGTTTTTTGTCTTATTGTCTCTATAAAAAAAAATCAATATAAGATGTCGACGTGGCTAAACCGTAACCGTTCAAATAGGAGGGAAGGGAAGGGGAGAGAGATTAGAAGGGGAGAGAATCCTCCTCCTTGCTCATTTGTTACTCAGTTGATTAATAGTATCCATCATGGCATTTGAAATTTTGATTAGTTTACTTTTTCCACCTTAATATTTTTTTTGTATAAAAATATTAGCATTCTATTCTATGTATGTTATCTTGCACTTACCCAAGTATATTTTCTTTGAAAAACTAGATTTTAATCCATAAATAAGATGAAATTTAGAAAAATGTCTTATACAAGATTAAAAATTGATTTTAATCCCTAGACTCTATTTAATGCCAGCATATGTATTCAATGGCTCACCTTTTTATTTATAATTTTATGGTGTTCAAATTAATTTTATGAAAATATTATAAATTTTAATTCTCATTATGGTAAGTAACTTATATAAGAAAATATTTTCGTAGAGATTTTTCGGTACACTTATGTTTTTGCATATTTTCTTATGTGCCACTAATTCATTACAATATATTTTGGTATGAACATTTCGGTACACTAGGTTAGTATAATATGTTTAGGTACGGACATTTCAGTAGTATAATATATTTAGGTATCGACATTTCGGTATACTAGTTTGGTATCATATATTTAGGTACGGAATTTTTCGGTACGCTTATGTTTTTGTATATTTTCTTATGTGCCACTAATTCAATACTACAATATATTTAGGTACGAACATTTCGGTACACTATTTTAGTAAAATATATTGTTTTACGGACGTTTAGGTACACTAATTAGAGGAAGTAAAATAAAATTAATGAATTAAATGTGTATAATAATTATAATTAAATATTAAAACAAAAATATAATATGAATTTGGATTAAGTACACATTAGAGGACTAAAATCAATATCCAATTTAACACCAAGTTTTTATTGAATTTTAATCTTCTTCAATGATTAAAGTTCAAAAACCCCTATTTTCTTCCTTGGTTTTATGAAGGAGTGCGAATGATATTTTTGAAGTACGAATAATATCTCTATTTTAATTGATTTTCTTCTTGCCACTTAATACTATGATTTAATAATATTCTTATTCACTTAAATTTGACTCTTACAAGGCGGCCTCGGTGACTTTTTCGGTGACCCATCTAGGTGAGTGTGGTGGCCCGTGGCCACTGGGGCCGCTGCCCCCTGGCGGAGCGTGGGGGAACCTGAGGTCCCACCTTAGGTTTTTCAACGTGCCGAATCCGAATATGCTGTCTGTTTTCCCAAATTCAATCGTTTTGGTAGAGTTTTATTAAATAGTCTCTATTTGTGTATTGGTGCGTCGGTTGAAAGTGACCCCGTCCTCCCTAGTTCGAGCGGTTCCCTAGTAGCAGAATATTTCTGAGTGGACCCCTTCTTAAATTGCATGTTTTTATAAAATTGCACCCACACTCGCTAGAGGACATGACTTCGTCAAGAAATCTCAGGTTCGGTTTTTATATAGTCAACTGAACTTTCATTTTTGTAAAATGTATATGTGCATCAATTAATTTGTTCTAACTAGTGACTGTTTTGGAATCGAATTCTAAAGGTTAAGGACAATCCATCGGGTGACTTCAAAAGCATGCACCGCCACATTTCCAAAGGATCGTGGACTTTATCTGATCAAGACCATGGATGGCAAGTTTCTGATGAGTTAATGACATGTACGAATGCCAGTAGGAGGAGATGGGCTGGGAATCATGTTAGAATTATTCAGTAGAACTTGTATGTTTGTGTGACTAGATATCTATTGTTACATTGAACCAATAGTGTGTGTGTGCTTACACTTGCGATTCATTTGGATTGATGTAAGAAGTGGTTTGTATGAGGTATATATGTGTGATGTGTGATTGTGTGACTGCACCATATAGTAGTGTGGTATATGGATGATCTTGCGTGTTTACCCGCATTAGAAAACCATATGAATTCTATGGATAACTCTACCTGGTTAATCTGCATTGATAAGTCACTATCTACTTGATTACGTGGTTTCCATAGATGGTCATGCTTGGTTAATTTGCATTGGGGGACTATACTATTGAATGCAAGCCTATGGAACTGCCTGGTTAATCCGCATTGAAGGACCATAAGTATCCTAGGAATACACTACTACAAAACTACCTGTAAGTGGTGGTCTGAAAACCGACAAGAAAACCTTATTTTTGTTGGATAATAGATAAAAACCAACAAGAAATGGTTGCAGTGGCAGATACAAGAACCAACAACATTGCTTGCGTCATGAAAAGACTTTTGTTGTCGGTTAGTTCCCTTAATTTTCCTAGAAAACGCAAAGCATTTTAAAATTCAAAAAGGACAGTAGTGTCGGACAAAAGTACTTTAGCGTTGGATACTAGTGACATTGAAACTCCCATCGGATACAAGCGACATTAAATACTAAGAAAGATTGTTGAATAGAGCAAACAATTATACTATCGTCGATAACTGACACCACTAACCATTAATAAAATAAAATTCCTTTGTTATAAAAAACATCAACAAATCTGTAATTTGTATGTCCAACCATTTCGTGTTCTAACCGGCCAATTCCCATCCTTGATGCAGCCAACCTTTTTTTTTTTTTTCACCCAATTCGCTGGATGTGGCATGATCATAGCAATCAAGCAGATAAAGGAATAAGAGAAGAGACCAAATCCTCTAGCCGGAGAAATACAGCTCTAGAAACTATGGATGCATACATATATCAGGTTCTAATTCCAGATTTGAAAAGAAATCTTCAAAAGAGTAAAGGATGAAAATGATGGTTTATAAACTGGATTTATGTATGCAATTATACTGGTGTCATACATACGCAATGTGCATTAGCCGGAGGTGACAGAAGTCGGAGAAGATCAATGGCTTTGATTTCTCGCTGTCAAATTCCGAAGAAGCTCACGTGCTCACAGTCGTTCGAAGAAGCTCAAGTTCTGACGGCTGCCAATGATGACCTCAGGCAAGAAACTACAAATTGCAGAGAGAGAGCAAAGAGACAAGGAAGAAGGTGTACAAGTCAAGATTCAAAATATAAACTCAATTTAATAGCATAATCAAAATTCAAAACAAAAGCCAAGTGTAATAAAAAAAATCTAAAACGCATTGGTTTTGGAATGTTACTCCTTGAATTGTTCATCCATGGTGATTGAAGTGGGAATGAGAAAACATTGGGGAAGGGAGAAGGCAACGGCACAAGGAAGAGAGAAGGGGTTTTATATAGGTTAAAACATTTTTGGCGGTTCAAAACGCCAGGATTTGTAATAGTGTCGGTTATAGACGACACCATATGTAAAAAAATTACAATTATGACTAATTGCCTATTTTTGTCGGTCGGAGCCGACATCAAGTTTTGATGTTATTACAACTTGATGCAACATCTTTAAAAGATTTCAATTTCATACGAACTTATATTTTTGTTCAATTTCATACATTTATTAGTCAAACCGTTAATTTTGACTATTAAGTAATGTTGTGGCAAGTGGGTTCCACTCTTTTGATGATGTGGCAGTCAATAATATGCTACATAAGAAAATAAAAATAATTATTTTAAATGTTAATATGGAAAAAAAGAAATAAAATAAAAAAATAAAAAAGAAGAAGAAGATTTGGTGGAGATCTTTCTCCCAACATCCAAATTAGGATTTGGTAGGATTTTAATAGACTTTAAAATCTAAAGGTAGTCAATCAGGATTTTATAAGATGATTTTAAAGGATTTTAAAATTATAATGTAATCAAATTAATATTTGGTAGGATTTTAAAGAATATAACAAAATCCATGAATAGTCAAATATGATTTTTAAAGTACAAGTCTAGGTGTAGTCAAAATATTAAAGATTTGTTAGGATTTTAATGGGAGAGGGATTTTGATGGATTTCATGGGTGGTATAAATACCAAATTG